CCCCTCTGCAGTCAGCAGTACGACTTCGCCCTCAGACCTTGGGTAGCTGCTTTTAGTCTCATCGTTCTCCAATCGTCCTGCCTGGCATAGTAGAACTTTCAGGAACATATGTTCCAGCCAATATAGCTCGGTTGGGTCATCACAATAGGCAAGCCCGACCACCACGTCAAGGTAGCAGCTTCGGTCGGGTAATGTTTTATCCTGCTGATACCTGCTTGTAATTGTATATAGACCATTAAACATGATCAATACTTGCTTGAAGTTAAACACTATTTTCGAAAACGATATATTGAGGATGACTACGTCTTATATTTATTACAGATACATTTCATTATCATATCTTAAAATAAGCACATATAGTGACTGCTCTTAGTCATTTATTTTCACGAGCATTGTACCACAAAGAAACAAGCACACAGTTTACATGAAATTTTTTGTTAACGTAGCGGGACACAATAATCGTTAGACTCATAATTGGTTGTCATAATGCAGTTGACTAAGTGTGGAATACATTTTTATCACTTTATTACTGTCTTGAATAAACGTATGGTGCTCTCTCGTCTACCTGTAAAATAACATGGCGTAATATTTTATCTGAGTACGGAGAGCAAAAGCGGTCTATTTTTCCGTATTGCCACTGTTACGGTGATATTTAAGACAAACATTTGTTACACATAACAGCTTTCATAGGTTCATACTACAAAGAAATCAGCGAATAGGTCTGAACATAAAATAGCGTAGCATTATATAGTGTTGACATTTGAATGAGTAGATTATGCATGAAAATCTCTAGTACGTGAGTGTTCTTAGGATAAGGAAATAGTAATCTGTGTAGCATAATTCCTTACTTAGTTATTCAGGACTCGTCAGCAATATACGGTAACTTTCCGTTAGTCTGTTAGTGCTCAACCCACATGCCCTACTAAACGTCATCTCCTCCGACTGATAATCCTGAAGTATTAATCGGACATTAGAAGTAAAATGTATTTTAACAATTTTCATCTGATAGTCTCAGCCTTCACAAAGCAGCAAAGACAGACATTTAAAAATTTATCAATAGTTCGCCTCAGTTTGCTATTTTATTAAAGGCGAGGCATACAAGCAAACCACACACAGTTATGTTTACATATCAATGAGTAGTTTGGACTGAGACAATTTCCGATCAGGCACAATCGGTAATGGGTGTTGCTTTCTTTTACTTATAAACCATTATTCCCGTAAATCGGTATAGCATCCACGTACATCGGCTCTTCTTTCTGCCTGTGTACGAGCAAATAACTTGAAACCATAATAACCAAAGTTATCCGTTATTACTATCTGAAATAACGAATACCTACACTGTAAAAGTCATACAACACCATCTTTACAGATTGTTGATTGTAAAGTACGTAGAATCAATGATGACGACCTCTGGATGTTGCTAAAACAATTATATTCGATCCTAAATAATGAAATAAATTTTTGTTATGAAGGGTTAAACTGAAATAAATTCTCACATCTCATTGCGATGTCTCAATGGACTGAAAACCAGCAATCGTATACCGCAGCCTAAAAATATAGTACAAAACTTCCTACTGTCAAATGAGCTATCATTGCCTTCAGATTGGTTTTATTTTCTTTATGACCCTTCCATACTCCAAGGCATTCGATCAAGAGATCTAACGACGATACCAGAGTCAGCACTGATCAGAGACTTTTGTTATATTCCAGACACGATATTCAAATCCATGGGACAAATATTGTTCACGAATTTTCATCAGGCATGATTTTGTCATGCACTAAAACTTTTATGAGACGACGCGTAAAAGTGAATGACACAAAGAAAACTCAGACCCATAAGTCACTTCGAATTTTCAGTTACAGGTAGAAATATATATAAACATCTATACACACAAACACATTGCTTTCATCAAAACACAACACATGGAAATAAATCGGACAAATCTACGTGAAAACAAGGTTCCTAAGTACTATAGACAAGGTGAGTAAACAGAGAGATTCAAGACTCAAGGAAGGAAGAACAGAAAGACAGCAATCACTATCTAACGAGCAAGAGCAGAGAAAGCCAAGGCTGAGGCCGAATACACAGAGGCAAACAAGCAGGTCAAGAGCAGAATCACAACTGGTAAGCGAAAATATATGGAACATCTAACAATGGTAGCAGAAAAAGCTGTAACAGAGGGACACATGAGACTAACATACGATACAATGAAGAAGCTCGCTGAAAACTGTCGTAAACCAGAACGGCCAGTCAGAAACAAGAGAGGTGAATCAGTTCTTGACATTCGAGAACAGTGAAACGGGTGAGTGGAGCACTCTGAGCATCTCTTAATTGACCGATCCCACTGAACCCACCTAACATAAAAAAAGCATCCATGCACCTCCCAATACCTGTTCGCCCACCAACAATTGAAAATATCAGCACGGCCATCAGACAAATCAGGAGTGACATGCAACAAGACTAGACAACTTATCAGCTGAGATATTGAAAGCAGACAGTATTAATTGAAAAAATACTCCACGCTCGGTTTGGCAAGATTTGTGATGAAGAACAAGTGCTAACAGACATGAAAGAAGGACAGCTCATCAAGATATCCGAGAAAGGAGATCTTACTAAGTGCGACAACTGCTTCCAATACCAGGAAACGTCTTCAATGGAGTGTTGTTAAACCAAATGAAAGATTCGATGCAAATTTCAAAGACATTTCTGTTAAATTATAATTTACTCTTGCACTTTGCTCCAACCCGATAGGTGTAGGTTCATACGCGTCCCGCTCAGGCCAAGTTCAAAAACGATAATTCTGGGAGAGAACAATTCTATATTTAATCAAAAGGGGAAATTTAGACAATTGCCAAAACAATATTACACCTTCGAGTTTCCAATTACCACAACAGGTTCCGTTGCTGGAAGAATAAGTACTTCCAGTCAGTTACTGCTAGAGTATCAAATCCAAATATGGCTGTAGCCAAAATATCAAACAGAAGAGTCAGTCATATCATAACATATATATATATACATGGAGGGATTTTCCAAAAACAAAACCTTCAAAATAGATTCTACAACTTCTATTTTACGAAACTGAACTTTGGAGAATAACATCATAACAATATACAGGCATTTATAAACAGTTTTCTTAGCAAGATATTTCGGATTCAGTTGCCAGATATTATCAGCAAAAAACTAACTGTGAAAGAGAGTAAACCGGATTCCAGATGAGGGTTAAGAAAAAGTACTAGAGACGGATACGACACACATTGCGGAAATTACCGGACTGTCACGATGCAACCCTTAGGTTGGAATTCTCAAGGCTGAAGGATAGATAAAATACCAAATAACACACTGCCCCGAAACCTGGAGATAGATCTGAAAGGAGTGAACAGCAATTAGGTTGAACTAGAAAGGAAGGCCCATTACAGAGTTGGTTTGAGAACGCTGGTCCGTGGCCTATGTTCCATGTTAGTTAACAAGCGTTTGTATCTAAACTTCTTCTGTATGCATGTCATGCATCTATTTTGCCATAATTTTCTTGAAATATATAGCTTTTCTTCCAGCGAACTGCCACTGAGTATCATGCTAACTGCTGGTTTGCCATCAGCATAAAATTTATTTTCATCTTACGAACAGTGTTCCCAACTTTATTTTACAATATTTTGCTCGCAGTATTAGTTCTCCTACCACATTGATTAATTACTTTCAATTAAGCTGATTGAGTCGTACTATCGTTAACAACATATTACGTAAGTTGTTTATCAAGAGCTTTAAGTTGTGTATATCCCCCAACGATTAGCCTACTTGATATAGTTCTGACGTACCGAGTATATGTGTGCGCACTGAGCTGTATAACCTGGCAGAAATCCAGTCCATGTGTTGAATGAATTTGTGTTGTGTGAACATGTATTATTATTATTATTATTTATTTACCACATTGTTGTTTGGACCCATAGGCAACTGACTGATTTACATGTTACGAAGAATATCTGTTCTGAATTTTAGAAATTCGGAGACAGTCCTTGTAAATTTATATTTTTTAACCAACTTGTTGAACTTCCAGTTGTGGCAGCACATTGTTGATTTAAATGGAGTCCTTGGAACCTACATGAACAGCGTAAATTCAATTCTGCAATATATCTGTGATTCACTAGCTGGCATTATTTTTAAGCTAAGCTTTCAGTTTTCCTTATTCTAGTTTTATGAATCGTACAACTTAATTTGCTAGTGTTAAAAACGATCACAAACTTGTTTCAAAACACAAGGCTTTTTACACTGGTTTCGCATTTTTGTTTGAGAACAGTCTTTAATTCATTTTATTCATTGTTTCCCTTCAAAAAAGTAGAAGTAGAAAAGTAACCCTTTTAAAAAAAATTGTCCTAACAAACAGACGACCAATGAGTAATCCCGAAGTAAGATTTGTCATGTCTTACACCGGTTATTGCATAGATTTCCGTGGAAGCTTATGGGTTTGCAGTATTTCGCTAAAATCAGCCTGACTCGTCTTTACCAAAACATATTCAAGTCTCCAAACTGCATTTATGAAATATAGCTGAGTAAAATTTTAGTTTTCTTCCCAAACCTTATATTTCAACTACACCCTACTGGCAACTAAGTACAGAGTATTAATAATTGAAAGTGATGCTTATGACTGAACGAAATAGACATGTCAATGCAATACAGCCTCTAATGATCTAAAGACTCGTGCTTATTAACAAGATACAGCTGAGTTTTACAGTAATTTATCAACTTGTACAACTTTCAGAGTATCGTTTCAAATGCTCTGGTTCAAATCCGAAGACAGTTTGTGGACACCAATAAGTTCACTGTGAGAAAAAGATTCTCATTTAGGATCAATATTGTGACATGAATTCAAACCCAGCTATTTTATTACTTATTACAGTGTGACACAGTGAAAATAAGTAAACTTCAAAATCGCTGTGTTCAGTTCATTATTTTCATGTAGGACTGAATAACACTCAGAGCTTCATCACCTTTTAAATCAGTATTATTGTAGAGAAGCGATGAGAAATAAAACAGTAAGTGTAAAACAAAAAAAGTTGCATTTATTTTAAGAAGAGATTTTACATCAATTATGCCAACTGTTAATAGAACTGGTTATATAGTTTATGGAATTACTGTGTTTTTTTGAAAATGCTAAACTATTTTATGCACACCATGTGGCAATGAGGGGTGACTGTTCAAAGCACAATAACAATTTTGTTATTTTGACCAGTTTTTCTTATAAAACCGAAAACTATTAGTAACAATAAAACTAATGATTAGTATTGTTGTGACAATAGCCATCTTTGTTATTGATTACAAAACTTGTTGTGTAAAAAAAAATGGATGAAAAAGAAAAACCAGATTGCCATTGTTGCCGCTTTGATTGACACATAATACTGAATTTATTTGTAAATCATTCTACTTGTAGAAATGAAAAGGAAGTAGTATTGAACAATGAGTAATAATAAATCAGATCTATGTTCCCCAGTATAATAATAGAGAGTACTTTCACTAATTTCATTTATCTTAAAAACTAATTTTACTTCAACGGCACTCGAATTATTCAGTTATGTTGATTGATGTGTTATTTATGTGTTATTTTAGCAAAGAGAGTAATAAACACAAAAACTTGAAGTTCAAAAATTGTCAACTAAAGCTGAATATTTTCCTACGTATAATTTTTACTCATATTTTATACTGTATGCAAAGGAATTGATAGCTTAGTTATTTTGATAAAAAGTTGTGAAGATGTTACAAGTGTGTTGTTTATCATTTTGTAATACACTGATACTTATATTCATGTTTCCTAAAATTAACATGAGACTTTCTTAAGTTGTACATCATGTTGACTGCCAGTATGCGTTTTCCCAGGTCCTGACCAGTTAGTTGAAGTTCTTGATTCCTGTTCCCCTGAACCAGTTTGAATTGTGGTATGCCCAAGGCGAAAACCTACATTTGGTGATGTACTAGTTAATATTGGAGCTGGACCAATACGCCATTCTTCTGTAACTGGCTCTCTGTCAAATGAGTCTATTTGTTCGGTTAAATAAGAAGAACGTATAATAGGCTGACGTTGAGGATATTCCGAATCATTAGGATTAAAATAAGGAAGATGTGTCCGGTCCCGTTGAGGTTGCACTATTAAATCACGGCTTGCATCAGTGTCATCCAGAGTATTTTGTTCTACAAGACGTGAATCAGAACAGACTTTTGGAAACTCTATAGTTTCTGAAAAAAATAGGAAATATCCAAGAAAGCGATAAAAATAAGGCATGACATTAAATTAATAGATTAGAATATTTGACCGGAGAAATATAACCTGAAATCCTAAAAGGTATGTACAGCGGCCGTTATAAATCACAATCTGATCCAGATTCTTTGCAAATTCTTTAACTCTTGATCAGTTCAATTTCATGGAAGGAGAAGGTGCATACTACATAGGAGGCTGTCTTATGTAAAACGGAACAAAATTCTCACAACGAACTTAACAATTTCAGAGGTAGGTAAATTGAGCATAAAATAAATGCATGGGTTGCAACTACTTTTTAGTGCATAATCCACTTAAAATACGACTTGGTAACTCTATTTTGTAGGATATTGCTTTATAACTTGTTGTCCATTATATGTTATAGCGAGTGACACCAAGTTATTCTGTTGCATTGAAATAAACTTCATTGTTTTCCCTATTGAAACCATAGACAAACGTACCACAGAGATTAAGTTAGATTGCGAAATATTTTGTAATGTCAACGACGTCCAAAATAGTTGAATAAGTAGCTATACTTCATTGAAGCAAATTCAATTACATGGTCAAATTACTCAAAATGTATTGTTAACTTTGTTTCTATCAAAGTTAAGTAGAAATATTTGAAAGAATTATATCATCACTGATCAAGATTCGAAACTTTCAATGTGCACCAGAACCTATGGATCAAATGGGAATGAAATTTGATGGCGGATGTGATTTGGATTTTGGGATAAGGTTGTCTTCCATATAAGGTATTTGTTTCTAGATTTGCATAATAGTATAATGCTTAATAAGACTGCAATATTTTTTAAAATTAAATTTAGGCTTTGAACTTAGAGTAACATAGACAAGTGTTTGACTGGCATGCGAACAATGGAAGTGTTAATTATTGATAAATACGCATGAATAAACTTCTCGAATTGAAGATTAACTCGGAAATAATTTTTGTCAGGATATTAAAACAATTAGAAAATTAGAAAGAAATTGACAGTTGTTTGCTTCACATTTGAACTTCTCATTATATTAAACCAAGATAGTTTAAGCTTTCCTCCAAAATTTGTACACTATGTAGTCAATAGTTGGTATCATGCTAGACACATTTTCATAAATAGTACTGACGATTTCCGGAATAATATGAAACATTTGTTTCATGCACATGGTTCTCAGTGAGCTTTTCCAAAAGATTTCAATTTATGGCATAAATAATCTAAACCAATCAAAGAAATTTACTATTTTATCTAAAGTATGATAAAAAACAAACAAAAAAAACACGTACGACAGTTATAATCTTGTGTGCGCGCGTATGATATAGATGGCGTAGCTTTTCTTTCATTATCCCCTACCACTGGAGTATGTTTAGATTCTGTTAGCATTCCACGAGGTAATTGTGGCTGATTTATTGACTGTAAAACTTCCTTGTCAATATGATTTTCATTCATTACAGGCATTGAAACTGGTGCTGGTAAACAAGGTGCATAGGCTAACGAAGCTGAAAATGATTGTTTCTGTTCGCCATCATCACTGGACAAACAATTCAGTGAGGGTGGTGGTGGTAGTTGCATAGCATCTTCAGCGGCCTGACTACGTACACTGGAACAAGCCATTGAGAAACGAAAATCTCGAGCAATTTCTTCATGTAAACTATGCTGTTTCACGTTGAAAGTGTGCAAGAAGAACACATGGAGAGTAAATAAGTATAGGGGTAAACTGAATGTTAAAAATTAAACCAAAAACAGAATAATTAAGTAAATAAATAGTTGCATTGAGAATATTGTAGGACCCTCACAAACATTCGAATTCGTTCATGTTTAATTTTGATTAACTTTTAAATGAGTCATTCGTATGGTCATAACTTATATGAACCAAATAATTCCATGACCCATTCATTTTCCTATATACATATATGTACAGTTTAATCGTGTTCATTCGTTTACTCGCTCGCTTGCTCTTCGGCACTCACATATCATTTTACTTTATGTACCTGTGGTTTCGGTTTGTTTGTGGTGTGACTGATGACCTCATCCGTATTATCGGATCATAGGAGAGTGAGGAAATGTACATATATTTCTTTTCGATGAATAGTAGTTAGATGTAGAATCGGAAAAGTCAATACTGTCCAATTTTAAATGAATAAAGTTATTTAACACTTGTGAATCAGACTGTGTATCTGACTGACTAAGCAGTTTAATAATATGCAAAAACAATCAAATATTAATCAGAAAACAAAAAGAATAAATAAATTCTCTTAAACAACTAACCTTTTTACTAGCTACTCGACGATACGCATTGCATATAAATTCTAATAACCCAACTAGCAATGAAACAACCATGCCGATAAGTAACATGACAAAACAACCACCAACTTTTTCGACACCTAATGAATTTGCATCAGAACTTTTTGTCGGAGATGTATCACATGGTTTTTCAATGTCATGTTTTCTCCACCAATAAAATTTCAGTTGTTCTAATACTTGAGATTTCTGCAATTTTAATATCGTTTCAGAAATGGGATCTCTGTATTTCGATCCTGTTAAATTGAGAAAATTAAAAGAGGTAAAAGATTGATGAGATCACTACAGAACATATAAAAAACACCATATATATATATATATATATATATATATATATATATATATATATATATATATATATATATATATATATATATAATCGAAAGAAGCTCAGGAAGCACTTACGGGCAGAAGATCTCAAGGCACAGGGTCAGCAAAGCAATATTCAGGAAAAATAGGGGATTAAAGTAAGTGTCATTCACTGCTATATGCCGTCATGCGATAACAATTAGGAGATGCTGTAGTCAATCGTAGAGGAATAGCAAGCAAAAGATTTGATGATTCTAGTGGCAGACCTAAACGCTAAGGTTCGAGAGGACAACTGTAGATGCGAAGACACAGTGGGACGATATGGACTAGGAGAACGAGGGAAAAGAGTGAGAGATTCGTGAATTCATGGGCCTTCAACAAAATGGTGATAAGTAGCACCATATTCCCACACAAAAGCATACAAAAGCCATATCAGTTTTATTAGATCACACTTCATAGTAGTAAATTTACAGATGATCCACGCTCGGTTCGTCAAGATTTGGGATGAAGAACAAGTACAAACAGACTTGAAAGAAGGACAGCTCATCAAGATATCCGAGAAAGGAGATCTTAGCAAATATGACAACTACAGAGGCATCACTCTACTCCCAATACCAGAAAACGTCTTCAACAGAGTGTTGTCAGATCCAAGGAAAGATTCAGTAGGCGCCCAAATTCCAGATCAGCAAGCTGAATTCCGTAAAAATCGATCGACCACATCGCGAAACTACGGATCATTGTGGAACAATCAATTGAATGGAACCCACCAACATTCATTAACTTATTGACTGCAAGTAAACATTGGACAAAGTGAGCAGGATGATTTTAAGAAGTCTTCTTTGACACTGTGGTGTACGTGAGACGATAGTCAACATTACACGAAATACTACGTATGGATTAGACTGAGAAATCGTGCATGGACGACAGTTCCTCGTTTTCAGGTGAAAACTGTCGTCGTATAAGGTTGCTTACTCTCACCCTTTCTATTTCATCTGGTAGTGACTGCATTATGAAAACCTCAACACCTCAGGAGCACGAAATACAGTGGACAACACAGATGCAGCTGGAGGATGTAGACTTTTGCAGATGATCTGGCTCTTCTATCGCACACGTAATAACAAAGGCAGGAGAAGATGACCAGCTTGGCGGCAGTCTCTGAAGCAATAGATCTCAACATATACTTTTCATCATTTTGTTTGCTGAAGACTTTTAATGCCGAAAGAACATCAACAAGGAAACATATGTACAAGGTAAAATGCAGAAGTTTTCAGAAGTCAAAAACTAACATATTGAATGAGTGATTAACCAATAAAACGAAATTCCTATCCTTGGTCAAAAGTAAAGATTGAATTTTTACGAAGAAAGCTAGAAATTAGAAACATGATGTAGAAAAACCAACGTTTGAGATCAAACCTTCCTCAATACTAATATTTTTGTTTATTGAAGCAGGTTTCTCTTCAACATTTTACACTTGCACATGCATGCTCAATTTTATAATCGATGAAACAATACGAATCATAGAATTCTTTTACCTTCTGGTAATCCAATACCATAACCTTTGGAATCTAGAAGTCCACCAACTTGCATTAGTTCACAATCACGTTGAGTATAATATTCATTCATTGTTGATTCAAGTAAGAAAGCGTATTCTTCTCGTTTGACACGTTTTATTGCTTCAACTGTATTATTCATTAATAAACCTTTCTGAGAACTCATAAATTGCCACATACGTTTATAAGTGGAAAAATTTGATTCCTAAGGATAGAAATAAATGTGACAGTTTATAAATAGAAAAAGATAACATTATCAGCAAACACAACATTGAAATCACAGTCTTCAAAAACGGGAACAAAACACGTTCTGTATTGTTCACTTCCTATGTAAGCTTGTCAACCTGAGGCAAAACCTGTTGATTGGTTAGTAGCTTTAGTCAGACATTCACTGCACTTACACTAGAGATCTACTTCCGAGAATCATTATTTAACAGCTAATAATAAGTTTCAGTTAACAGATGAAATGTTAAGCTGATGTTAAATCACAAAATAATGTCTTTTAATAATAATCAAATGATTTTCTCAGGTTTCTACATAATTTAATAACGAATTACAGTTATTAAAAAATGAGTTATCTCTTTGTAGTGCGAGGGACTAAAGAAAAGTCGGTTTTCGCCAACGAAAAAAAGTTAATTTCTTCCTTTTTATAATTATAGCAATGGAATAGTTCAACAGTCTAATAAAACAAACAGCTCCAAACGGCCTAGAGGTCAGGTATTCAACAGCAAATCCAAACGCCCACCATTTGATCTCCACTTTCAGGCTCGTGAATGAGTACTGCTAAGGAACCCCATACTAGGACGAGATAGCCGTCCAATGCTTCTAGGTTTCTATTGGTTGTTTAGCCTTGATTGGTCCGTCATTTCTATGAAACTGGAATTCGCTTCTAGTAAATTTAACTATATAACAACATAATAATAATAATAAAGTTTACTAACCTCAAAAAACGCTGTTGTTGAACCACCTTGTATGGAACCATATTTGATTTTTGTCTGTTTAGCTAAATCTTCAGCATTTTCAATCGGGGCAACCATTCGTGCAACTGTCAGAAATGCAGCTAAATTAGCTGTGTATGATGATATGACAATAAGGGTGAAAAACCACCAAAAACCAGCAATGATACGAGTAGATGTAGCATGAGGTAAAATATCTGAGCCTGAAAATTCATAAAAAGAAAATGGAGAACTTTACAATTTATCTCATTACGTTTTTTATTTGTGTTTATCAAGCAGAATTCGGTTTTTAAACATCATTTCATGTGACTTCTTTTCTATATATTTATACTCAATGGCTAACCAGTGAAACTCAATATCTAAATACATCTGTCACACGAAAATGTGAAGGAGGATAATTTTTCTAGAATACCGATAATGACGTAAATGAGGAAGTGCCCAAACCTACAACCCGGAGCATTATATGTCAGTCTTCAAATCATTAAATTATCACTTGGTACTAATCGATACAAGTAATGAAACTTGCTAAATGAAATAACTGACCTTGATCCTATCCATGTATTATCAATAGTCACTTATACAATTATTAGTAAAAGTAAGCCGATGCAAAAGCGGTCAACTAAATTTAAATGTAATTTCACTAGCGAAAAACACAAGATAGAAGATTAATGAGAACACTAGTGCTATAAAACGAAAATTCGCTAGTGAAAATGTCTCTGGAATATCTCTCGTTAAGAATTGTGCAAGAACACAGCCACTGCTTAAGTATTTGGCTTAATTTATCTACTATTATCTCGATTTGCTACGTAAAACTACCACTAAAGATTGACGACTTCCTCCAGTACTTTGTCCAGAAAGAGCTTACACTCCCATGAAAAACTCTCTAGATGTTGGCTGCTTTACGAGCAATCACTACAGAAATTAGTTTAAACAGTACGACTTGCATCCGAACTCCAACTAGTTTCTTTAAATTTGTGCCAAAGTCTACTAGCACCATTCTTCATTTTTCTGTGTATTTTGTTTATTTTGTGATTGAAAACTGTCACATTAAAAGTAATCAATGTAAGGGGTATGTATGAATCAACACTGAAAATGAAAATGCACAGTCACATAAAGAATGAATGCATCCGCATCATAATCAACTGTTCTGGGCCTTATCACACTACATCTTCAACTGATGATTGTGATTATCATTCGGATCCAAAACAGGTAATCTCTATTTACTCATTATTATTCAAAAAATAAAAAACACTAATCGAAGTACTGGGTTTTTCAGAATCTGCTTACGCGTAAATACTTAAAGAAAACAATTATCTAAATAAACTGAAGTATGTAGAACTAAGCTTGAGCATATGAGACCGTGTTGGAAAGTCCGAATCTTTAAACTAGCTCAAACGTATTGGTTCGCCTACAGTCCGCTACAATACAATGTATTCATTTCTCAACAGTTCATTTCCGATTTGTTATTGATCAAATCAGAAAACAGAAGTCCTTATTGCTGCATGTTGTAACTATTGGAAGTAGGATTACGGAATCGAATTGATTGAATTAGAAATATTATTGAAAATGTACATTGATCAAAAAGATTTTGAATAATTATCCCTCATAAACACGTTTTTTTTAGCAAAATATACAGTTTAATTAGTCTTCTTACTAAGTGTTTGTTTGAAAATAACCCAGAACCGGTCACATGTTCAGAGGAAACTGAAAGTTGCACTACAGTTTATAAATTATAACAAACATTACATTTTTATGATTTATTAGATAGACAGAATCACTAACCTTTTTGCATTAATGAACCAAATGTAAACCAAAGACTATTGGATACGTTGAAATTATTTTCCACAACATCAGAGTCCACATTACATGGATGTTTTACTTTCCATTCATATGGGCTAAATCTAGCCACAACAAATAACACTAAACTGACCATTATAAGTGCAGCTAAAATATAGCCCCATACCTAGTACAAATTATTAAAATCAATGTAAAATTAGGATACTGCTCACGAAAATAAGCTTTTTTATATGTGGAAACAAATAATGATACTGATAGTGTTATTGTCTTATATCTACTCAGTGAATGATCAGTTGTAAATACAGGTCAGTCACGGCTCAGAGGTAATGTTTCTAACTTTGAAGCTAAATGACACTTGATTGAATTTGCCAGAGAATTTCAGTTCCATCAAAACTGCAGGTTAACCTTGCAGATGAGCTCCAAGTAGCACTAATCCTAGGTCAAGGGTCTCTTGTCCACTACCTCCAACCAAATACTTACATACCAACATGGTGCACGAAATTTCGAGTTACCTAGATTAGTATCTACATTGCAACTTGATCGATAGAATTCGACCAGCGCTGAAAAAGACCTGACATACATAATATTAGTACCTATCCAGCGATCAATTAACTGTCAATGGATTATGATATAAAGAATCTATCAGAAGTGGCCGAGTGAGGTTACTTGATGACAATCAGGAATGTCCTCAAGGGTGAATGGATTCATTCCCTGAATGGTAGAAATATATATATATATATATATATATATATATATATATATATATATACATTGCATATGTATGAGTATTTATGCGCATTATTCGGTAGCCAAATTAACTTTCTTTTCCGCTTTTGTCTTCTCGCCTAACTAGTTAGTTTGGGAGGTTAGAGTGTATTACCTTTAGATCTCGTACACTGGACATCAGAACACAATATCTACATTTATTCAGATGAGGCTTGAACGTTAACAGATTGTTATGTCTGAAATTGACGTTACAAAACATCTCATTAGTCCTGAAGCCTTAAGAAATATCCTACTGTACAGGTCTGAAACTAACTAAATGCTCTTTTATTCCTTACAGTATTTACCTTATTATTCTAGTAATTTTTTTCATAACAGCTAATACTTATTACATCCAATCATATTAAAAATAAACAAACCAAGCTACTTATTCATTACAAATTCCTTAAAAATTCAAAATACTGCACATTTCAAGTGTTTAAACAAAAATCAATTGTTTAAACATGGTTAAGAAACGCAGTTAATTTTTTTTTACAAAAAAAAAACCCGCAACTAAAACTTACTGGTGGTGACAGTGGTGTTAAAAAAGAAAATAAATGTGATTCTTTATCTTCAGGACGTTTATAAATAATACTAATGCCCAAATACATAAATGGTGTTGTAAAATCAATAACACGTTCACGATCATAAGTGATTGTGAATGATCCAACAGCTAGATCTGCACGCTAAACGAAAATATTAATTAGTATGAATAATGTAGTTATGATAGTAAGAAACAATGCGAAAAAACAAAATAGCATTTTAGGTAATTAACATTGGTGATTAGTGAAAATCTGTATGATATTCAATTATCAGAGACTATCGACAGGAAGACCATTTAGCTCCGAACAGTACTCACGATTTTTACGGAGTGAATATTTCACACGGGGATCCTTTAAAGCGGTTCTCCTAGTGGGATAGTAAGGGATTTTAACATTCAGTGTCTTAAACTCCATTTGCTATTATGTATGGTGACGTCAAAACAACTAATTCAATGTACCACGGCCTAATGAATTCCACTGGAACTTAGAAACAGAGACTGAGTGACCAGTTACAACATGATATACACTTGAAGTCATAGGTAGCACTTTATGCCGTATTATATTTTATTTTCAAAAGGAAGTAATTCATTAAGCTTAATATCGACTGTTTGACGAAATTCACATAAATGGATCCGGGTTATGTTTATAACCTCGTGATGATGATAAGCTAAATAAATATTTATTTACATAAAACTCTCTGTTTAGGTGTTACTGTTGAAATTTAATTATGTAAGCCAAAAATTTGTGGTATTTAAATTGTAACATGGATCAATGGTATTTCGTTCACTTGAAAAGCAGTACAAGGATAAGTGATCATTCATTTTGTGAATTACATCAGTGATTATACGTATGAACATACAAGATTGGATATTGAAGATTCGACTATCTCAGCATACAAATGTTATTCGTTTCAGGATGTGTTATATCCTTTAGCTAACACCGATTGCGCTTATTCGTTCAAATTAGGTTCAAATTGATAATCATAGATTGCCAACTTCATCTCGAGAGATTTAAATTAGATACCTTTCAGTGAAAACAAGTATATCACGACATAACTGTGAGTGCAAGTAGTACAGTTTCATCAAAAACGTAAATCACAAAACTCAGTGATCCTCACTGTGACAGTCAAATGGAGTTACATAATACTTTTATAAAAGTGTTTATAAGTGTTCTGTCTAACGTGACTGAAACATTTCGTTTCTATCATTTTCAATAATCAAACGATTTTTTTGGTTGACATGAATCAAGTTGTTTGATACTATCAAACACACGACATGTGAAATGATGAGATTATTAATTGATGTAAAAATAAATTTAACGTAAAACATCACTTATTTCATCATAAACTCGAAGATGTAGTTGAACTACATATTTCCTCAATTTTAAATGAACAATTATGAAATGTAAATTTGCCATTAATCGATTATCAAACCTATATGCGCTTTATTTTTGATCTCCAATTCACAGTTCGATCATAGCTAAACATACTGAAAAGAGTTCACTATTCACTGAACCCATACTGAGGTGACAGCTTTAAAGTTTAGATACATACATAAAGCGTATTCATATATGTATAAGTATATGTATTAAAGTCTTACGCGAGTTCGTAACTCTTGTACCATTCCATCCCATGTTTCTACTCCATCTACAATTTTCATATTGCCATATGTTGAATCTGGTACTAAATTAATTGTATAAGTGAACTGTAAATCTTCACTGATGTAATTTAGTAAACTAATACAAAAACCTTCCCAATCCTTGGGATCTGTTGATTTCGGCTGACCAGGTAATGTTTTGCCTTTGTACATCATATAAGGTTTCTCCTATTTTAACAAAAAACAAATCCATAATGAGCAAGAACAGAAGTGAGTAGTCAAATAATAAAAATCAGCTAATAAGATATAAAATTATTCATTTATATTGTTTTCACTATACTAACAGCACTTCCGAGGGCCATAATGTCAGGATATTCATCAAATATCCTAAGAGAATCATTTTTGTAAGTCTAATTCTATTGGTCAATTCCTACTGGTCAATATTATGGTCTTCCTAAGTATCACTGTCACATACTTCAAATGTTGTTTCCTATTCGACCTAACTGTATAAATACGCATTATCTGTAACGTTTTATGACCCGGACCCGGATCCCTAGTCCGGGATCCTGATTCTCTTCTGGACTCGGACCTCGTACTTTCTGGATGCTTGTAGAATACAGGTTCTACTTCATATCAAGTCTTCTTCTTTTACTCAATGAGGGTTTGGGACGCTCGGATTAGAATAGCCTGTCGTGTCACCGGATCCTTGATCCTATCTTTCGTTTTCCGACTAAGGTAAACTCGTAATAGTTCAAGCATATCAAATGACGTTTTTGCGTGTGTTCGTAACACATGAAAAGACAAAGCAGTATTAAGTGGAGGGCAACTGAAAATCTAGGAGGTCTGAACAATTATTTTGTCTTGGCTTAGGACTGCTCAAGATTGGACAGATAAAGCTAAATGAAATTAGGATAATAACTTTTTAGTTCACTTGTTAGTATGATACTTTTAATCTCGTTGGTCTATAAACAGAATTCAGTTTAGTAAAAGTTTAGTTATCATATTTGTTTACGGCTGCATATTGCTTGATGCGATTTTATTAATCAATAACGGCATATAGATTTCTTAAGCGAATAGCACAGTATTGCTTCTGATGACAAGTTTATCATAAATATGAAAGAAAACTAAATGTGAAGTCAAATAGCATACATTTATTCCATTTTCACTACAACAATTGAAGCATCAATGCTTAGATTCAACCATCTTTTTGATAGAAACACGTGCTATGAATTCAGACCCGGACAATCATCCAAAACACGATTATTAACATGATAAGGCAACTACTATTTGATGCGGGAATAAACAAGAGTATGCTATCATAAATGCATAAGTTTTAAAAATCGACTTACTTCTTGTGTGGTGATTCGTAGAACCTTTCCTTTCAATTCAGACTGATATTCTTGCTTAGTTAGGCTGAAATTTTTAGTAACCACTAATCCCTTGTCCATATTCCAATAGCCGTACTATTTTGTATGATAGAAAAAGTAAGTTGCACAAATAATTAACAGACATTACAAACGTCTTAGAGAATTAATGAAAACTAAGTAAAGTTGCAAGAAAGGTTTGTTTGAATATAAGTAAAAGTATACTGCATAAATTTGAAAAAAGTACATTTTGCTTTTCTTAATCCAGGAACTTTCTGAAATTATTTGATGAAGATTACAAATTACGCTAAAAGCCATCATAATGATCAGCAACGTTTTCAATGTTTACAGGTCATCACTTATTGTAGGCCGACCAGATTATTTCGACTTAACGCTTATGTACTACTAACTGATATCATTTGCTTTCATTCTGAAACATAGGTACATATAGTGTATTTACTGAGTTGCTCCAACAGATTTTCACATTTCCACTGATCTTTGGATTGCAGCAAAAACAACAACATATTTACAGACTAGACATAGACCTATCCATAGTTCGACGTAATTATGACTTTTGGAAACTCATCTTAACAAACAGGATACGGGTAGTGAGACTCTGATGACTCTAACCGAAACTTAAGGCTTTAGAGACTCATAAGATCACTTTGTCCATAATTATGAATATACAATCACGGAAGTCTATGAAATTTCTAGAACCATACATCGTCAACCGAGTTTTTCAAATTTTCATATCGAAAACAATAAGTGTAACTTTCAAAGACTCTGACCTAATTTGTTATTTCGAGTAAAGCATCTTAGTATTTTGAAATTGAATTCTTATAAAATTCAAATTGGATGCGTTCATTACCAGTTTAATTTTAAATCATTAGACGATTCTACCTCTCGAAACTTGAAACATTTCGAAAATAATGAATAATGCTATTTGGACACATTAACTTCAGAAGTGAAATATTCCAATTTCGAATTTTATGCATATTTGTAGATGTACACAGTTGATGTTGCACAAGATTAGTGTTGACTGTCGTCTGATTTACAACGCCTCTGTATCTGATATCAGGTTGAATGTAATTTATCAAATGTCAGTGATTTGTATTCGAATTACATTATGGCATTAGAGAAAAGAACACAATCATTGATGTTCATAGACTGAAACAATAACAAGTGAACTACGATCATAAGTGTCATTATAAAATCATGGTTTGTTCATTTGATTTCACATGATCGTGAAAAAAAAAAAAATTGACAGTATTACTGGATAAAAATAAAAACTTACAAGCTTATCATTCTATTTTGTAATTATTTTAAAAATTCTTAAACTCTGAGACAAATGAAATTAGATCATATCAACTTGTCATTTGGAAAAATATATAAAACTATCATCTTTCATATTTTTCACAAATAATCTCATAACCGCAAGAAGTCACGCACATTTCAAAATGAATTATGTTAGTATTACCATTGTTAATACTATTTTTTTTCTATTGCCTAATAATAAACTAATCTGAGTGATAAATTTTCCAGTTGGTTACAGATTTTAAGAAAACCAGCAAACAAGTATGACTAGGTATTGAAGAGGGGGATATTTGCTTTGTAGAGAGGTATTCTCCTCTAAAGTTTTAGAGAAATTAGCGCATCACTTTTACTGACCACAACATTAGTTTAGATCTGGTTTACTAGTAAGATTTACAATTCACTAGTGAGATGAATTTTGTTGTCATGCAATTTAGTAATGCACGAAATTATCTCTGTTTGTAAGTAATGTTTACAGTTAACTCCTACAACTGTAATTTCTTGATTTGTCCAACATTTCGTGCATAAAGTTTAATATTGGAACTTATTCTAACCCTTGATATTATAAACCGGTTTTGGGAATACAATTAAAAACCGCCTATATTCCATAGTTCACAGAATACATTAATTCAAAACCATGAATAAGTGGAAAAACAATTGATCAACATACCTCTTGAAAACCATTTCGACCTAATTCCAAAATAATCATATGAGCATTAGAACGCCAACCGTGTCCATCGAATTGAAATGGTCCAGTAAGACCACGAAAAGTAGTTGGATGAACCTTGATTGATTTTCATTTAAATAAGATCAAAAAGCAATAAACTAATCGTATTTTTTGATTGAATATGTTAGATCGATAATGGACTTTTCTGAGAAATTAATTCAATCTAGTCTATATTTAGTAAATTAGTAATCTTAATGTCATCTTAATGTCATTGAATGCTAAACTTTAGTACAATAACGACATAAGTTAATATTTCCCAGAAATAAATGAATTTCTCTAGTTATTTGTTGTAGAAAATTATGAGTAATCAATCGTTGAAAAACGATTTAGAAGGAAGAAGTATTGTTGGTGAACGCAGAAATAAATGATCATTTAGCAAAAGCGTAATAGACTAAGATTTGTTTGTTGATTCACGTATTTATCTGGAACAAAGAGCAATTCTGAAGCTGACAGAGATAGAAATGTAATGCCACACAATACTCAATCACTGATTAAATTAACGACTTATATCTACTGACTTTTGCTAGGATAATCAAGATAAGTAAAACAAGTTGAATAATCAAACACAGTACATTTTAGATTTTTCAGAAAAACTGAATACACGACTAGTTTGACGACCGGACTTCTCCTAAATAAGAAAAGAGTCCTAAAGGTTTTAATGAAACTAGACATATTTGCATTTCGATTGTGAACAGTAAACTTGTGACAAAAGAATTATAGAAACATGAAAGGGTCACTAGTCTTTTGGATAGAATTTAATTTGCTCATAAAATGATTCCCGAGATGACACTGCAGATTCATCTAATCCTGTTAACCCTTGAATGCATTTTACACTCATTATAGTACATTTAAAATCGACCTTGATAGTTCCAAGTAAAAAGTGAACTAACGAACACGCAGTTTTATGTAAATGTACGAGTGTTGAACAGTGGAATTCTGTATCAAAGTTTCATCCTATGCACAATTCGTTAGGTGAATACACCTGAATCCCAATAGTGATGTTAAAATTTCTCATCAAATTAAAACTCAGTCCTAACAATCAATGACGGAATAGTACCAAACCTTACTAACAATAATATAAACGGAAATATAGTTTTTTACGATCGATAATTTTGCTGAATGAAATTATAGTAGATTGAATATATATAAATATTTATACCAGAATTAACGTTGCTGAATATGCTGTGGGTTACTTATACAGATAGAAATCAGTAGTATATAACTGGAGTAAGTATTAGAATAAACATTGACCGAAGACAGAAATGAGATCAATTAGAATTAGAACAAGAACGAGTGAAGGTTGAAGATGTACAAATGGTACATTTAGTCTAATGTTTTGATATTTTATAAACACAATTTGCAGCGTATAACTAACCTAATTTCCTACCTTGCCTACGTCTACATTCTTTTCACTATGATTGATGAATGACCGACAGTTTCATATAGCTTAGAATTTAAGTCTATTTATCTGTCATTATTCTGTGGTATGCCTTTATTCATAACCAAACAATTGATTCTTGTTTCCGAATTTCTACTTTGAATCTACCTCAAAATGTTCTACAAATACAAGACAATCATGTAACACGATAGCAGTACAATGAAAACATGGTGTTCTCATCACTGACATAAAACTGCACTTATCCAGTATAGAGAAAATTAAGATATATTTAGGGTGAACACAAGAAAATTAATTTCTCATTGAAGCGTATCATATATCAAAAATTCATCAATTATTTCTGCTAACTGTACATCTTTGTGCATAAACTGGAAAGAAATATCCCAATTTCCTTGTATTATTGATTTCCCCTTATGTCAAACCTTGTTGATTCAATGAAAATGGTCAACAATGTGTTCAGATCTTGTTGAGACAACTGAACAGTGTAACATTTTTGTCCCATGGGATACTTATGTCCTTAACAATAAGAAACAGACTTATTATTATTATTATTATTATTATTATTACTATTATGAATCTCTTGAGAATTGTTTTCCTTCTTCAGTTGTTACCGAATACTCTTTGGCCGAAAAACAACACTTAATTGCCTATTTGCAAGCATATATGTATGCTTTTTAGTATCCTCTATTCCTTGAATTAATAAGCAATTTTGTTATGCTGTAAAATTTTCAGTACAAAGTTTTCACAAAATCGACAAAACTATGTTTCAATAATCAATTTCAAAAGGTTACTGCTTTAATGATCATTTGAATGCCTAATTTTCAATTTTTCAGATTAAATGAGCCAATTATTCTTCGCCTAATTCAATTATGAAGTACATAACATAGAAAATTAATAGTACAATAATTTAACACACCGTTTTATTCGCCAACTACTCAGTTTCGTCAATATATTATGCATGCTATGAAAATTGAATATGCTGCGTTTAATGACTGATTGGATATTGGTCATATTTAGCTGTGGAGTTTTTATTTGAAGAAGAAATCATGAGAAGATAGTTCTCAGTTTTTATCGAGTTCGTAAATTTATAATGTTAATTCATGATAAAAACTGACATCACACAGAGTGACTTTTTCAAAACTCTATTCTTAATAAAGAGTTGAACAATTTCTGTTCTCATAAAATAATAAAAACTAGTAAAATTAATATACACTATGGTAATAAAGTTCTACAATGGTAGTTATGACATTATTATTATTATTTAAATAAAGGTAAAAGAAGTATTGATCATGAAACACCTACGTACAGCTTTTATATCATTGATCAGCGTTAATCCTGGATTCCACACTCGATTAACTGAACATGAGAGACCAACTGGTGGTAGAATATTTGTCGACCGGGAGGATGACAAAACACCCATTGCTAATAAACTTAAACCATCATATAAAAGTGCAGAGTGTGTCTATAAAGACAATAGTTAAGAATCTTTATAATTATATTGTTATTATTACCTAAAAGAATATAATATTATGAGATATTAATGATGATAAGAACAAAATTTCACTTATTCACAATCCTTAAAAATCTATCATAAAGCTTCAACCATGAAAATACAATCGTAGTTAACACTTATTGAAATTTCAACTTACCAGTATGTCTGTAAAGAGATTTCATAGACAGCAATTCATATGCTGTGGTAATATGAATTATATTCCACTTGGGTAAAGATGAAGCAAATTGTGATTTTTACCTTAGAGTGAAATGTTTGACCGTTTGCAGTAATAGAACAATTGAGATGTTCAGTCAGCATCGTTTCATATTCCAGCACCATTTTTATTCATCATGTTTGTACTTTGAATTAAAAGTTGACTAGATCACCTATCTTGTTATAATAAATGAATAAGCTTTTTAATCCTAATGAAAATTGTGTTATGAAGCACACATTTATTTGATTTCCATAAATTTTGTTTAAAAGTTCATAGTAAACGAGTTGTTTTGAAGGAAATATGTTTTTTTTCGTTTTCGTGTTTTTGTATCAACATTTTAACGTTTATAATTCTTTTCAAATATCGACCTTGGCTACTCACGGTTATACTTATTTGTTATCACTAAAACCTGTAACATTTCGTCCTACTTAGATGGCTAATTCAGGTGAGATGAATTTTATGAACAGTTTTCTAATGGGTACACATTTCTGCGCGGATTATTAAAAATGTGATTCAGCCAAATATGTACAAACAAAATAAGTCAAATAATTAAACAGTGTGTAATCAAGAGAACCGTTCATAGGTTTGCTTCTGTCATTTGACTGACAAAATAAACATTAGACAAAACTGTTAGCTGAAACAAAAGCTTAGAAGTCGATATGTACGCCTTTTTTTAATGCGAATTCAACGACCTCACTTCATGTCTAGAGGTTCTCAATTTAATGATATAAAAAGTGTACCGTTTATTGATACAATTGAAAGAATCCACACTAACAAATTAGGAAGAAATGTAATCTTAATATTAGTTGTGGCTGAAGACTATCCTTATTTAAGTTTGTTTCTACTTAAATACACAACAATACAGTATTATCATCATTCAAATCATGAACAGTTAAATATGACTGTAAAAGTGTGTATTATTGCATTATTGATTTTATTCGACTAAAACGATACTGAAAGTAATTACAAGTTGATTATCTGTTGAATAGTTGCAAGTATTACATTACACTCCTAGTACTATCTAAAATATGATCAGTGAATTGTGACAATTATTTGCATCGATTCGTAAACATTACTCTTAACATCATATCAGACTGAGCATAGTGTAGACCCAAATCTTATGACTTCCGAATCTGATTAACGCAACTCAAATATCTTCCTTTCAAAATATGGATAATCTAATACTTTGAAAGCATTCAAAAAGTTCCCTTTATTAAACTAAAACTAAGGTAAATTCATCACTCCTATCATTGATAACTTTGCTTCATTCATAATGGAATGAGGTGAAAGACCATAAATTTTTTTTTATTAGAAACCAGAAATTTCCATCCTGAGAAAAGTGCGGAACGAAATGCAGAATAATACATGCCCTTCACAATGTTCTCATTTCTCACCCAGTTTACTTAGTATGTATGTCTGATAAATTCTCGAAAATAAGGTAAACAGTACATTCTGTATTATCTTCATGAGGTGGAAAAATTTAATGAATTGAAACATGCACAAGCGAAAATGTCGTATGTTAAAATTTGATGAACACATTATAACTTACAGGACTTATACGTCGTGACGTTGAACTACGTGTGAAACGTTTATCTTGTAAAGCGGTTACACGTATATCGTCAAGTAATGCAGCAACCCCGTAACCAGAATCTTCATTCATCGGATGTAAGATAGTGAATGTTGTAATATTAGCTCCTTGAACGGACTCAAACGCTTTTGGATCAACCAATTGAACATCCTTAACAGAAAGTAACATAAAAACTTGATAAATCTTTGAAATTGATGGTAGTATAAATATTTATGGAGATTAAGCTACAAATCTCTTCCATTTTTGCAGTCATGGATTTGTCATTCGTATATTTAACTAACGATTTTCTTGAATTTTTATCGATGTCATTCAGTGATGTGAATGAAATAGTTATGACCAAGCTATTATAACTGTTGTGCATTTATTTATAGCACACACAATGCATGACTAGCAATCTGTTCGCTTATTAATTTCATCCAATAAAAACTCATGTGTCAGTAAACACCATGATACCATAGTGGATTCAACTTTCCTTTCATCGATAGGACGAATGTGTAAAAACTAGTCATCGACTACACGAAGAACTCAACTTCATCCAGGTAACATTAGGCACAATAAAGCTGTAGTAAATTTCAGTTAATTTAGTCAACCAACATTTATTAACAAGACAGGATTTTAGAATCTCTGCATCTTCACTAAGGAAAATGTTTGTATACGTGGTTATTTTGGCAGGAGAAACTATGACTCTCTTAAGGTAGCCAAATGCCTCGTCATCTAATTGAATGGGTATATTAGGTGACGTGCATAAATGGAGCCTTCTGAGGGTTGTGGTGGTGTCTACCTCTTCGCGGTCCTGCCAGGCAACGTGGCGTTGTTTACAGAGCTGCGGCTAAAAGCCGTTCCGAACGCTTAAGATACCGTGTCTAGCATGGTTCAGAATAATGGTACGTGTTCATGGTTGCAAGGTCGTGAATGCGATTTGCCACTTTGAGGGACTAGGACTGAACCCCTCTAAGTCTGAATCCCGTCCATTGAGTGTAGGTAAATTTGAAATAAAGGGATATAGCCTTCCAGGATACATAAAGGCGGCCATGGACGATTTGTTTAGGGAAGCAGCCTTAAAGACCCTGGACTATTGACGCCGACCCTATGTGGTTGTCCCAAAAACTCTGCATCTCGGTGTATTGTGTCAACTGGCGTCGAGGCCCCTTAAAAAAGGTCTCCAGTTGGATTATGTGATCCGGTGCTAAAGGGTACTGGACGCCAATGATATCTGCCCACTTATGTAGTGGGATTAACCCTGCTTGGCTGAGTGCTTGACTTGTTCGAGTCCATGACATCTACCCCATGGGCGGGTGTGCGTTCCGCTGACCTTGTGGGACAAACTCGATCTTTAGCTTCATGTGGGGTCTGAGGGCTCAGGTCGATTGTATCAGCGCAAGGCAGTCGGAGGCCAGACGGTTGGAACGGTTGCTGGTTAATGCTTTTCTGGGTGGCTCGGTAATCCGTTCGGGGCGCCAGGTCTAGCTGGGAAAGCCCGCCTTGCCGCCCTTGCCGATTAGGGATTGTGGGTAAGGGATTGGTTGGAGAGATCTTGTTGATTCATAAGTGCCCGAACGAGGGCCACTGCTCGTGCGCGTGCTTTTTGGACGTCCACTTTTCTGCAGACCAATCTAGACAACATGTGCGTTCCCGTATGGGGCAGGGGTGATCACAATATTGCTTCTTGTGAGAATCCTTGTGTTGCTTAAAGTGCAGCGACGTGCCTGTGCAGCAGGCTTGTTGGTTAACCAAAAATACGTGGTTATTTTTTACATATTAGAAGAAACAAGAAACTGGTTAAACAATTATCTGTGGGATTATCGAATCTGTTGTATAAGACGCGCAACATTTATGTAATGTGATCGTCTACAGATGGCTATGACGATATCAAAGTACAATAAGCAATGTAAGGGTTAATAAGATAAGAAAAACATAAAGGAAATTCTTACCCAATCAGTAAACACGTAACTATAATATTGTGACGTCATATTGTATGAGTTTGCCTTGAAAAGAAATAATCAATAAATAAATGGTTCAGCTGATGAGTTCAAAAAAAAAAAAACTAAACTACATTTTATGACAAGGTTAGAGAAAAATATGCTTTCGAATTTCCAACAAGCTACTTATTGTATAATTAGGCATATCATCAGACAATTTTCTAAGAAGAATATGATTTAAGCTAAACGACTAGTGTTTATGATGAAAGAGATATAAAGTACTTTCGGGTAATTTATTCAAAAAAACAATTGAAGAATAACACTTAGGAGTCCATTGACTTCCATGATTCTTTAACTAACATCGGTTCATCAGGAAATTTATCTTCACACTCTATACAGACTTTCTGAAATCGGATAAGTATGACATACTGTTGCACAGAAATCCCATTTATATGAAAACAAAATGAACCTAAATCAAATGACATTCTTTTTTTGAAGTGAAAATTGTGAAAATAATTGGAACCTGATAAATCGGATGATTCAAACACTATCAAAATGACAGAAATATAAACTTGAAATCTCAAGAATATGATTGTAAAATTTCAAACTTTTCAGAATTTCATTCCATTTTTTGAGTAACAAGAAACATTGAACCTCTATTTCCTTTTATATTGGCTATGTGCGTCTACAACCACATCAAGCATTAAACTCATAATCTTTGGTCCTCCTAATAACTGTTTAACCTCCAAACTTTTGAGTTGGTATCGAATAGTTTACATTTATAATTTCAATCAACTGGATGCGACAATTCGTTGTTGCGCTCAGTTGATAGATCTTCGTGAGATATGCTCCTGAATGAATTCCATGTAAGAATTAAGTTTAAAATCCTGCTAAAATAACTTTAGTTGATTAACTTAAGGAGAATCTATTTCATAGCATTACCTCTATTGTATTTCATCTTAGTTACAATCTTTGTTCTTCATAAGAAAAGATAAAAGATGAAAGAAATCACGCCGATTTATTCTACCCATAAAAGAAATATAAACAGACACTATAGCATTTAGTTCTTCCACAGATAAACCAGCATTCTTCAGCCTACTCTGTTCTCCACTTATCTTTTAAGATCTAATCACGTTTCCTTCATTCTTCTTATGTCTCTCTCCGTTTTTCAGCGTAATGTGTTCCTTGGCCTTCCCCTTTTCTTTTGTCCTTGAGGGTTCCAAGTGAGGGCTCGTCTTGTGATGCACTTGGCTGCTTTCCGCAATGTGTGTCCTATCCAGTTCCAGCGCTTTTTCCCGATTTCCTCCTCCACTGGAATCTGATTTGTCTTGTCTCACAGTAGATTGTTGCTGATGGTATCTGGCCAACGGATCCAAAACATCTTGTGTAGACAAATGTTTATAAATACTCGTACCTTCTGGATGATGGCTTTGGTAGTTTTCCAAGTTTCCACTCCATACAGTAGAATTGTTTTGACGTTTGTATTGAAAATTCTGATTTTGGTGTTGGTTGACAATTGTTTTGAGTTTCAGATGCTGTACAGTTTTAGAAATGCAGTCCTTGCTTTGCCGATTCGAACCTTCACATCTGTATCAGATCCACCTTACTCATCAATGATGCTATCCAGATATGATCCGTAATGTTGCAAGTTGGTCGGTACATGATCAGTACTTACGAAATCCAGCCGATTGATCTCTAAGTTGGGCGTCTACGAAGCCCTTCATTCTGTTTAACAACCCCCTGTTGAAGACTTTTCCTGGTATTGAGAGAAGAGTGATGCCTATATAGCTTTCACTCTTGCTGAGATGGCCTTTCTTTGATATTTTGATCAGGTGTACTTCATTTTGTTTGTTGGTACTTTTATTCCTCCCAAATCTTGTTGAGGAGAATGTGGAATGTTTTGCAATTGCTGCCACATCTGCTTTCATTGCCTCTGCAGGAATGTTGTCTGGTCCCGTTGCTGTGTCATAAACTGCTTCTAAAAATTCAGGGTAAATCTTTTAATAACATTAACTTCAGCAAAGCGTAATAAATATGAAGCCGTCTGTTTATTATTCTTCTTCAGAGTTTGGATCTGAAGTGTAATAACTGTTATCGACATTTTGAATTAACTAAAATTATTGATTGATATTAAGTCGAGAAATAGAACAACAAAGTTCATTTTACCACTTACAATCCATTTTTGTCTTGAATTTATAAGTAATTTATAATTATTTTGAATTTATAAAAATAAAAAAATAAAAAAAAAAGAAATTCAATGATCACTTACAAGTGCTAGAAATTCTTGAATCTCCCAAAACGGTATATCCACAATAAAACGGAAATGTGTTTGAGTAATTTTAAATTGTTTAATGACATATTTTTGATTATCATTCGATAAATCCCATTTACGAAGCATCACTGGTTGATCGAATGTTCTCAACAGATAGTCAAATTTTAATAAACCTAAAATCATATTGAGGAAAGCAGAAAAAAGAAACGGTATTTGATGCTGTTACATTTAAATTAGTGTCTTTTGGGTCCATTGGTTAAACAATTGCATTCTCATCATAAAATTGCATAGAATTTAGGGAGAACAGTTTGGAATTATTCTAAACTAGAGTGAAATGGTTGGAAAAAAAGTTTTGTGATTTTACAACATAAAACGTTCATAGAATCTGTTAAATCTGAAGACCATTTACATCGTAAACCAACTTTGGTGAAACAGTGATTGAAAACAAGAAAGGGCTAAATGTATATTTCATTCTATCACAGGACTCAATAGTAAAGAGAACCCTGAATGTCATCAGATATCTGATCTTCAACATTTCAATAGCTAATACCGGTCAATGATAAGAATATTTTGAAGTTATCAACATCGACATAAAATTTTTCAATCTATGATGGAGTATAAAGCAGTGACATTGAAAAATACTATCGAGCACCACGACGACTGAATTTCTATGAATTCATTCATAATCAACTAATTTACTGTTTCTGCTTCTAGCTAATCACTGTTCAGTTATGAATAAGTTTAGTGGTATGAGATATGATTAAACCAACTTATTGATCATATTACACTGTGTACTACGTGATGCGATGCGAAAAATTAAACTGATACACTGATTATCAAAGATAAATTGCTCTAATCTATTTATTTTGTGAGATCATTATCGTGAATGACAATCACGTTAAGGAAGTATTTATACGTAGCTGGTGAAGTCACAAAAGCAAAAACTTATCATGTAAGTTGGAAAAAATAATCATACGGTGGTTACCTACACAACATACAAGTTCTTTAAGTTTTAGCTAATAGGCTTTTTGACTTTCTTTATAATGTTTTTCAAATGGGTTTTCTAGTTTTATTTAAGAAAACATCTTTTACGGGCAAGTTTTAATGGTTGATTTCTTCTTCCTTTCAAAGAACATTGAGACATCAATGTGAATAAATGATCAACTGAATTCACCGTATCTCAATAAAAATCGGAAACTTTAACATACAAATCCATACACACTTAAAGTATAAACGCAGAATAGTAGAATTTGACGTGAATTTCTTTTGATTTACACGTAAATATGCTGTACTCAACATCATATAAACAACTGTAGTCAATAAAGACTGAAAATAAATTATTTTCAATTCGATAAATATTTCGAACTATAGAATGGCAGTTGTAATACAGACTGCTAATATTTTATTCAACTTTTGCTTCAATATTTAGCTACTATTATTGAAAGTAAGTTCAGCTAACCGTGAGGTTAATAACATTTATCCATCGATTTTTTCATTAATATTTCCGTCAACCGATTCGTATTTACTTCTAACAGTTTTATGCTATACATGACTGGCATGAAAAGGCAGCATACATTTTATGAAAGGAAGTTCATTTTTATGAAACAAAGCTTCATCTGCAATCAATGAACACATCAACAAAGATTATATATATATATATATATATATATATATATATATATATATATACGTTAGTAGGTGATGAATAAACTCCTCAATCTCATACACAACAATAAATTCAGGTGAAGATGGCCGGTGTAGCAACAGCCTCTGCATCAGTAGGCCCCAACATACTCAGGAGAAACAGGTGTAAGTAAGTAAGGTGAATAATAAAACTCTCAAAGTTTGCAGGTTCACTTACTTTCTTCTCTAGAATAAATTACAGCAACTGTATCCCAATACTCTGCTTTCTGAACATAATCATATAATGCTTGTCCAAATGCTAAATAATGTGGATGTATATTTAATGCATAGCCACGAGACGTTTGATGGTAACCCCAGTCAATTTGTAAATGTGGTATACCGAATTGATTGCACAAAGCTTGTACAGCTGACGATGCATATGGTGTAGACGGGCCATAAATTGCGATAACTTGACGTTCAGTCAACTGACAAGCTAATAATATGTATATGCATAATGAAATCAAAATTATTACAAAATTTCGGAACTTTATATTTGAACATCCAAATAACTGTCATGGAGTGATGTTTCGTATAACCTATCTCAAATGAAACGGTGAATAAAACTCATATATAATATTCTTGAGAGGTAATAGCAAAGTGCCAGACACCATCAGCAACAACGTACTGAGGAAGAGAATAAACCAAATTCCAACAGAGGAGGAAATCAGGAAGAAGCAGTGGAAGTGGATAGGACACACACCACGAAAAGCACCTAACTGCGTCACAAGACAAGTCCTCACATGGAACCCTCAAGGCAAAAGGAAAAGAGGAAGGCCAAGGAACACATTACGCCGAGAAATAAAGAAAGATATGAGAGGAATGAACAAACATTGAACAGAATTGGAAAGGGAAGCCCAGGACAGAGTTGGTTTGAGGAAACTGGTGGGCGGCCTATGCTCCATTGGGGATAACAGGCGTAAGTAAGTAAGTAAGTAATAGCAAAGTCATCAACAGCTATTTCGGTGTATCCTAATCATTTATAGTGAATTTGTTGGTGACTTATTTCTCATTTTTTGATGCTTTTCATCTGGTCCACTACTACTACTACTACCACTTACAAATGTTCAATTACTTTTTAGAGTATGGTTAACTTAAAGTTATTTCCTTTTATACATAAAGTTTCATATTTATCCATATAAATTATAAACAGAATCCATAACTGAAAATTGTCTCGTTTATTATCAGTAGAGTTTTAAACATGAATTTGTCTTTCTAACTACATATCATTTTCAAAAAGTAAAAGAAAAAAGACTGGAAAGAAAGATTTTAAAGTAAAAAGCAAAGAATGAGCTTTTTGTCATGAAACATTTGCTAGTCATTTTGTTTTAATGGAGGATACAAAAAATATCATCATCAATTTAAAATCAAGAATTAAGGCAATTAACTCATCCCTTGCAGTTTTACTCATATGTTCCAGTTAGAAAAAAAAAACAAAAATCTCTTTTAAAAGTTGAAAGAGATTTTAAAACGAATGTGTCTACTACATGATCAATATCCACATTTATTAGCTGAAACTGAAACTTTTCAAATAATTGAAGAGATCTGTTAGGTTGATAAAGGACATGGTCAAGTCAGACGGCTGTTAAAAAATAAGAACAGACCATTGAAATATCATTGAAATATCCTCACTGAATTTCCCTTTCTCATGATTGTATCAAATGGTACTAAAGATTTGTATGGAAGTTTAATCATAAATAATTATGAATCAAGTAATTCATAACATAAAAGATATTTTAACTCAGTTACACCGAATCAATTAATATTTCTTCATGAAATCAATCAAGTAAAAGTTTTAGGAATATTAATGTGATATCCATTTCGTTGAAGTAAAATATTCAACGTAATGCTGTATAAAATCAATTATATTTTGCCGTATATTTTGATGCCTCAGTACTACCAATGTATAAATCTTCGTATGATCGATTATAATATCTTTAGTTTTCGATGTAAGCCTACGGGTTAACTGAACGTTAAATTTGCTTGAAAGAACTCTTCTTCCTTTTCAAAATTCTGTGTATTATATTGACAGAAGAAGTCATCTCTTCTCATCCAAACTGTAAACCATTTAGCAGTGACTAATAAGTAAACTAATAGTTTACCAGTCAAACTTTCTGCAATCTTCAAAGTATAACTTATTCCATATCGACTGGTGGTTAGAACAATCTCAAATGTAAACTAGGCTTATTTTCTATTCTACAAGGGACTGCATTTATGCAAACGGTTATCGATCAAGGAGTTGGTGAATAATCAATTAGTATTACGATCGATCGATGAATAACAACAGGAAGTATTGCTTTAACATTTCATGTTATTACCACTGACAGCATAACAAAAGTATAGAAAAACTTATTAGTAGCCAATACTAAGTGTGTTTAGTTAAGTGATTGGCTTATTCTAATAAAAGATTTCATATTTTACCTGGTAAAGATTTATTTATTTATAATTTAATAAATCTAAATGTAGTTCACTGAAATTAATGACAACAGTTTGAAGATATCATGTTGGCTGAAAGCTAGAAAATCATGAATTTGTTAACATATGAAATAAGTACGAGATACTAATTTGTAAGGAGTCCGAAATGTTTACAAAATTGCTGACTACTAGTATTTTGCACTTTTCAGTAGTTCCGCAAATTACAGACATTAAAAAAGTCGTTTATCATTCTATTAGGTACATTAAAATTAAACTTTTGAAGCCTCTTAACTTTGCGATCTCCATGAACACTCATAATATCGATTATAATAAAGCTTATAATATAATACGGGAGCCTATAATTCAATCTGTGAGCATGAAAAAATTAAATAAATACATTGAAGATTTATTCGACCACAATAACTTCAAAAGGTTAAAGGATTTTTTCTAATATGAATTTAAGAAACCTTTTTTGGTACTCTTCAAATGCAAACATACGGAACTTTACATTAAACTGCACCCATAGCCTTTAAGTCTGGTAGTAAATGTGATATTTTAAAACTAACGAGGTGGAATCCATTGATCCACATTTCCAAATTCATTCAATTCTTAATGTGATGAGACAAAAGTGGTCAGTGTTAATATCTGTCCGAGTCCAGAAGAGAATCAGGATCCCGGACTAGGGATCCGGGTCCGGGTCATAGAACGTTACAGATAATGCGTATTTATAAATTTAGGTTGAATAGGAAACAGCATCAAAGTCTGTGACATCGACGATTAATACGAAACAACATTGGAGTACGTAACATTGATATCTAGGACGATCATAAAATTGACCAGTAGAAATTAACTAAAAGGAATTGACCAATAATTCTCTTAGGATATTGGATGAATATCCAAACAAAAATGATTGAGAATCAAGCTAAACCTGTATCACAGGACTAACGGAACGTTCATCTGATAAGTTGCAAAAGATTAAGTACGGACATTTAGTAAAAATGGAAATACTTTCAAACTGGTTGTATAACAACTGTTAACCTCATAGTGTGTGATAATTAATTATCATATAGTTCACTACTGAAACTAAATATATTCCTTATATAATCTTATTTATATAATCTTTGAAATAAATATCGAAAAATGTCCAAGTATACTTATGATTAATGTGCAATAGTTAGTCAAACACTGTAATAGAATTGGAGATATATATATATATATATATATATATATATACTGTGGATAACAACAATACCTTTACGCGTCGCTTCAAAACTATCATCTCCATCAATTGTCTCTATGATTGGTATCAATTGAAATCGATGATTTGTTGAATCATGTTGTTGTAACAGTTTGTTGGCTGCTTGTATACTTTTTTTGAAACATATTTCTTGAGCTACATCGTCTTTCTTAATTAAAGCACCTACAAAAAGCACAAAAATCAATGCGTTTTATAGAAAATGATGAAAAAGAAAAACGGTTTATATAATATGTCCAGTGGTTCTAATGGTTTAGAGCATTCTTTACGACTCAGTAGCTCTAGGCTCACGGATACACATTGTTTAAGAGTTTGATATTAAGACAAAGAATTTGTTCCGTGCTCTTTGCATTTCAGTGGTATCCCAGATGGGATCAATCAATCATAAGTACCGTTTATAGATTAGGATCAGTTACTTATAAGCGATTCAGAAAAAAGCTTATTTCCATTCAGTTAAATGAGTTTCTGTCAAAAGATTTCAGTCGTATCAACATTAGAAAACTGATAATAAATTTAAGAAAATTCCTAAGTGTTTGTAAAGTATCTGACCATTAAAAAAGTAACGAAAGAATATCAAAGATACTTAAAGAGTCGTTGAAAATTCGACATGATATAGCTGTTGTTCTGCGTTTCCGTCGACTATTTTTCCTATGATATCTGTTAATTCAGAGGCTTCATATGATTTAGTTTTCTTATTGTTTTGGATCATCTGCTGTTAAAAATGTTGCGTGCTGATTACCACATTATAATCGCCAATTTCTGAACTTAAGTGTAGTAGTAGTGAAGAAAAATTAACGGTTCTATGATTCCATAACATGCTTTAAACTGATCATCTTGATACAATCTTTAGACAAAGAAGCGAAACACAAGTGTATACAGGAAGAATTCATCTATCTCAAACTTATTAGGCAAGTGAAATCGCAAACTCGGTTTAATTATTCGCCTTATCCACACCTGTAACTTTATACCAGTCGATCTGAGGCCATTCCTTACTCCGTATTTTCACAACCATCGACAATCATGATAATTTATCAATATTGAGACGATTTCATAAGTCGGATAATTTCCACGTAAGTCAATAATTGAAATGCTAGTATTTAGATTAAATGAAAATGGATTATCTCTTTTTCAAGTTTCATGACACAGATATTAAAAGATAAATGTTAAAACTATCTTAAGATAAACAATCGAATCAGAACAAAGTGTTATAAAACACTGCTATTAGCTGCAGTTTTAATTCCATCAATGTTGAATATACATACAATTTATTCTTTATGGAGTTATGGAGATTGTTGTTTCTGATTGAAATCACGAAGAACCCGTGACCAGTGGAGCTCAACACTGTCGAGTGTAGACAGTAGCTACTGAAAACAATGGGTGAGGTTACACAAAAGCTAGACATTAACACAGTCGGATCCCGACTCAGTGGTCTAGAGGTTAGGTATTCAAGCGCGAAACCAGAAGTCCTGCTTTCGACTCTCGCGAGCGGGAGTCGTGGATGCGGACTGCTGACGAGCCTAATACTAGGACGAAAGAGCTTTCCAGTGCTCCCGGGATTTTAATGGTAGTCTAACAACGATCAATTCATGATTTCAATCGAAATTATAATCTTAGTCATCAACATGATGTTCCCAGAATCAAGCGACTAATTATCCAGAATAGTTTCAAGTAAAGAAAACACTATTCCCATTGTAGAGCTGTGAATACACATTTGAAATCAATCCGATTTAAACTATCACAGGAAACATGAGCAGTAACATTATCATATGAAGGTTATCAAGTAATGATATTCATTGAATTATGACACATAAATCAGTGAACATTCATTAAATTGTTCAAACAGTAAATAAAAACAACAACTAAATTGTTTTAAAACATAAAAATTATAGTCACATAGAAAATAATAAAAACAACAAATGATTGTTTACCGATTATCAGCTGAGTAGATTCATAAGTTTGTGAATAAATACAGGATAATTGAATAAAAATGACCGAAGTTGTATAAAATATCATGTGTGTATTCCAAGTTATCCAATATATGTATGTGTATCTGTTTGTGTGTATAGGGGAGAATACAATGGACAGTTTTCCAAACAAAATCAACTTTCCGCTTGGATAACCGATTAATGAATCAATAAATCTTAAATGTAAACAAGTGAAAAACAAAAAGAAATCAACTGTTTTAGATAATGTACATCAGAAATTATCGTAGATAATTTCAAAATTATAAACTTCGTTCACTAAAATTGATTTGAAGCGCTTTTTTCAAAAGACACATTCAATTTATAGGTTGTACTTGATAAAAAGTAATCTCAGTTGAAGTACCGTTGAATATCAAGGTGTACTGCACGGGACTTTTGCCTTAGTATAGGATCATCTAGCAGTCTACACTTATGACTGCACTAACCTTTTTTCAAATATTCAAAAAGATTGACTGAGGAATTATACTGTTTTAAACTGGATCTGATCAAAGAAAGAAGGGAAACCATAGCAAGAGTTTACCATTGATAATTAATGGATTTTCGCGAGATAAGTAATAAGTTGATATTTAAACTTATCTGATTTTCGTAAACAGTTTTTTTATGTTACTTTAACCGAATGTAACTAATCAGCAGATAAAATTAAACTGGAATATCTTGTTCAGACTCGGGGAAGTATTCAGTAGATTTTGTTTATGACAAGCAATACAATCCACTAAGCATACTTCTTCCTATTTTTAAGAGTGATCAAGAGGATGTATTGTAATATTGATATTCTTACTAGGACCTCAACCCAGCACCTATCACTTCGAATCTGAACATGTTATTCATTGAGATATTCAGTTCAATTAGTTATAAGTAAGAGCTTGAATTCAGTCGATTTTTGATATCAAAGACTATGATAAAAACTATTTTTAAAAATTTCCATCCTGAATTAACGTAGATTAACATTAATTTAAACAGCTAAATGAATGTAAGTCGACAACTTTCTAACTTCAAATGACTATTATGAATAATTAAATAGGTATATATATACAAGGTGATTTCGTTTCTTTCTTTCGATTAAAATATGTTTTATGTAATTTTTAGAACACGCATCAGTGAATTTCATTTGTTTTAATTCTTTATTTCAAGAAGTCAAAACAAACCAAACGTGCCAAGTCTTTCAAAAATAAACGGAAATCCCAAACTATATAGAGGGCTAATGAACCTTTTTACTACTGTTCTAATGTAGATAATTATTCATTTGTAATGATAGGCAGACTCGCACAAATAATTGTTAAGATTACTGAACTTCAATAAACATTCGAAAAAAACAGAAACTGTTCGGAAGAAATCCTCACAGTTGCAGAAATAATGTAGAACTCAATTATCCAGTCATAAGCGATTGCTTTGCCGGATGAACTTGAAGAAGTGCTCTTTCTTTTGAACAAGATCCAGGAATTGATTTTCACTTCTTGGAATAACTAAAAAGCTTAGTGTATTAACACTCTATCTTGCTGTGTTCGTTGTAAAGTTTCTTTTGTACTTCATCTCTACTAGTCAAATTTGTAATGATATCAACTCTGAACTCTAATCTATCAAATGAAAATTAATTTTCAACATACAGTAGTAACACATTTCAGAAACAGTTTTATAGGTACCGAAAACAGATTAGAACCTTTTACGCTAACGTGAATTTTAGTGGAAATACCTGATGCAACTTTGGATACAACACTGTATACAGTCTCCAAAGTGATATAGAAACTGTTAATTAGGTCAGTGGTGTAATGTGTTATATAATAAATGAATAACGAGTATTCATGCATTAGATAAAACCATTCGAAATGTTGATGGGACTTCGATATGAATTGAATCCTGAAAAGACGTTGAAATGAGGTCAAATCTACTGGCTATGATTTGTCTGTTATAACAGCAAATAAAATCAATACAGAAGATGATATTAGGTATTCGGTCGCCTTTATGGCTAATATACAAGAATTGGATGATTCCCCTCTATCACAAAATCAATATCACTAAAATGTTTTTAGATCAACCTGATAAATCGCAAACAGTGTGTTGGGAACAAAATACTTATCAGAACTAGAGATTTCAAGTTGTGTCTCGTTTAATTAAAGATATTAAAATAGCTGAGCATGTTCAAATTGTAAGAATTAGGATAGTCTAATCAGATCCGTTAGGGGGCATAAACGAATAAGCTACCGGTTGTCACTGAGGAAGATCTGAATTAATTTGTGAACTGTCTGATATAGCTGTAGGATTTGATACTCAAACTCAGTGAGAACCTTCCAAAAATCGAATAGCAAGCTGGTGTTAGTTACAGGCTGAAATAATCTTCAGAGTATCAAGACAAAGAAGCGTCTTTTCTTTGTGGGCTAAATCTTTGTCAGACACGGTTTTTTTTAGTATGGTTATGCTAAAATGCAGGAATGGAGTTAAAGACATTCACACTGTCATTGTAATGTCTTTCAAATAATTTCTAACTTTTCCCAGTTTTAATTTTCAGTTTATCCTTCAGACATGCTTAAATGTTATTATTATTCTCCAGCAACATAAAACTACCCTTACGAAATAACAGCTGTATAGTACAATGTTCAAAAGTTATACATTTAACACTTTACTAGGTATAATACTCATTTTAGTCATTAACTGTCTTACAGAGAATCCTATTCGTTTCTTCATAACAGTGACTGAATAAAGTGGATGATACATTAATGAGCATTAGATACATTATCTTTTATAAAAGTTGAATTGTGTGCCGTCAAAGTTCCCACTGAAATTCATCTACAGAGTGTTTACAAGAGTAGAATGTATTTTAACATCCATGTGCTAAGTTTCACTGTGTTTTGAATAATTCTGCTATGACTAGAAAAAGAATTGCTAAAACATCTCTCGAAAACAAACAATGCACAACATAGGTGTTTACACTATTAGCTCGCTGCAATCGTGATTATAGTTCAATATTCTTAGCTTTACGGATTGATAAACTGAGTTTATTGTCTTCTATAATCACATGTAATTCACAGTACACTATGATGGCAAATGACTATAATCTTTCACATATCAGTCCAATATGAATTCAATAATTTCATAGATTTTCGTCAGATGCTTACATCAGAGAAACAATTGTATTGTTTAAAAGCCAAACGGTATACATACTTTACATCATAATGATATAAAATTTCCTAACAATAAAGTCCAATAAAACAAAACTGCAGTACGTTTGGAAGAACTATGACAGTTGTTCATATGGTCGAAGAAGTATTAACGAACAATGTGAATATTCTGCAAATTCTCTAAAGTACGAATGCGGACAGGTTATAGAGAAAATTTTAATTCTATTACTTACTTAATTATATAATAAATTTATTATAAGATTAAAATATGCAAAGGTCAGATGGAATCCAGGAAAAAAATCAAGAAAATGATTAAGAATACAAAATTCTCAATCAAATATCGGAAGCTGAGGTCACTAGGTTATAGCAGGGTTGATTACAGAATCCTTTTAATTACATAAATATGATTTAGATATTCTGATACTAATATCTCTAGTAAAACGCAATAATTTTGAAGTCAGTTGTTTATTAGTAACTTTGAATTATTTCGATACATCAGCTTCATCTCCAGAAGTAGACGTCAGTTAATAGCATGAATGAAACCATTCTGACTCTTTAGCCGCACTTCTGAGGAAAGTCTTCCGAAGCACGAACCACGTCTCATCTTTCTACTCTTTCAAAGTGTATGCTTCGGGACTGGTCATTTGCTCACTTTTAAATGTCTCAACGAGCTATTTCTTAGATATACAGAGACTAGCTCAGCAGCTAGATAAATCCTTTTTAATTCAACTTCAGTCTAAAATCAGTATTCCTGCACATTTCACCGACTTTCAAACCAAACTGTTCAGAGGTATATTTTTTCTCCAACATATCGAATTCCATTCCCTTTGTTCCTGTCTTTCTATATTTACTGATGGACTTTCCCGGATAACTACAATCCCTCAGACAATGGTCAAAGATGGCTAATTACTTTTTAGTCTTGTTCTGAGAATGTTAGTGAATAGGGTTCTAATGAAAGCTCCTTTTAGCTTACTGGACAGGCACCATTTTAATCTCAATAATGTCCACTTCATTCATTCTTTCGATTAAGAAACTTTTAAATTCGATCATCTTTGTTAAGAATATTCGCATTATTTAATAGTAATGAGAAATTATTAATATTACTATCATAATAATAATTGTTTACATTACTACTACTGTTGTTATTATTATCATTGTTATCAATACTACTGTGGTGCTGTCGTGCGAACTACTTATAAGTAGTATATAACGTGAGTGTCAACGTAAAGTCTGGTAGCATAATATGGGGGGAAGATCAAGAAAGGAAGAGTTAGAAAACAATGGAATTTGTATGAAACGCATGAATAGTGACAATGGATTGATGTTTGGCAACAGGAACAGTCCAGTTCCATAGGATGAACTGATCTTTTGCAAATGAACGATTTACGATATGGTTTTCCGATTTTACTGAGTAACTCTGTAATTTTCGCTAAATACAATCCGGTTGTCCCCACATGTGTTCTCATTCACTACACTACTATGGAAAGTGTCTACAGCTTTGCTTTTAAACAGTATTAGTATTTCTAGGTTGTAAGACGCTGAAGAGAATCCATGAAATACATAAATTTACACCATTCTGTTACAATACATTGTTTTTACATTATTTAAGTGATAAGATTATCACATCTTTGATAAGATTTGACAACTATCACCAAAACCTTTTTTCCACAGAATACAAATCAAATTTTAGTGGGTTTTTTTTTAATTAGTAGACTAAATGAATAAATACTAGCAAATATTGTCGATTTCCACTGAACCAACCAATGTAACAATCGATTGATAATTATGAACATTATCGTTAATATATGCCATGTCACATCTACCTGAATTATTTTACCAAGTGTCATCATACTTCAATTACTAGTAACTGAGGTGCACTTAGGGAAACAAACAAAAACACACTGAATAATAAGATGTTGGCCATTAATGATCCTACAGTTTAAGCTTAATTGTAAATTTGGAGAAGCATACGGTGTATCTGCCTCCGATTATATGTATAATTCTTTTCAAACCCATTATTTGCTGAACATAGTACTGAGTTTTTTTCTTGCGTTGTGAACGGTTATATATGATGTTACGCTGAGAGATAAGATTCTTTTTATCGAATCTCATGTATAAAACAAGCATATTATTAAACTTCATTAACATTTGTGAACATCACTGTTACTTGTAAAGATTATTAATAAATTCAGATTACATTAAGTGATTTCATATGCTTAAGTACAAAAGCATATATTTTAAAAAATGAACATCTAAGAAAAACGCATCACTCCAGTATGATGATAATATTATAGACGCTTTAAATAAAAAATTTTAATTATGGTCAACTTTGGTGTATACTTGAAGTATATATTTTACTGCATAAACATGAAAAATGTGTCAGCTAACAATAACCTAACAATGCACATACGCATAAAACATAATGAACATGGAATATTATGTTAAGTATTCAGGAAATAATTAGTTTTAACAATTATTATTACTGATACAATTAAAATCACTTTAAATGTGAATTATTGTACTTAGTATTCAGCTACAAATCTTACACAGGAATGATTTAGTACAACTGTTTGAGTTATGTTTACATTTTTGTAATTACTCAACAATCACAGGTTTGTTTACAAACCTTTAAGTGTGAGGGTATTTTTGGACTACCATAAGGTAGCTAAAATTGAATAAAAAGTAGAAGTGATTGAACCTTTAAGTAAACGACTGACAGCAAAGTTCTTCAACAGTTACATGGATTACATGAATAACCAATACTTCAGAACAAAACCAACACATTCCAAATTAGTATAATGTACAGTGACAAGCGCAAGAGCCTATGAAGATCGAGGATTAGTCAATAGCTGTTTCGTCTGAGCTGGCGACCTATCAACAATTACCATCGACGACTCCATATATACGATCGAACCCTAAACTTTCTCGTTTAGTGGTATAATACTTCTAGTCCAGTGGATTGGATTCCGACGGTATCCATTACTAACAGTACTTCATCCAATATATTTTGATACCAGTACTCATAGGTACGTTACTCATTACAAATACTAAATCTTCCCAAGCATAACTAGTTACTACAACTTTATGAACCCATACTGAGGCTAGTCATTAGTGAATGTGTGATTAGTATCTGGATTTGTAGTTTGTGAAGTGTCCGATACTGAGACGGTGGTAGTGTTCAATTTTTTGGGAGACTTAGCATACCACTAAAGGGAGTCTATTATTCATTTATCTTTAAAACTAATTAGAATGTTACTTAAATCCAATTAAATTCTGAAGAATAAAGATATAATATTTCTAAATTACAAGTCGGAGCTTCAGAAATGAAAAAAGGTGAATGCTTAATCATTGACTTTTACAACATTTGTATTAAATGGAGAACCCGTGACTGAAGAAAGAAATTTTTTGAATTGCAAAGAACAGAAAAAAGTCAAAGTGCTTTACATAAAAGAATGATTCATACATTAAAAGGGGTGAATCCTAAGAATTTAGTAACCTCCATTTCGGAGCATTATTGAACAATAAAAGCTAAAAGCACAATTACTAGTGGGTTGTTTGAGTTTATTATTTTTTAAAATCCGAATTCATCACGGAAATTTTCAGATATATTTCTCATAACTAACAACAAGTTGAAAATATAATCCAGAATGTTTCATTTCACTGACATCCAACGGTTGATATTTTCAACCTGTCAGTTATGGATATAGTATGCGATGAGAATTATCTTTAACTGATGGGAAGTCTTCAACAAAATAAGTGAATGCAGAATAGTCCTTTTTAAGTTTGTAGCGAACTTTCTAAATTAATCCTTCATCTCACAATGCATGGAATAAACAGTAACAGGTAAATAAAGCTGTTCCATAGGATATTGAGGTTTACATATAATATTAAACTAAGGGTGTATTGGTGATAAGCATAAGACAGGAAGATCTGCCTGTACAACAAGTCAAGACGCTTGGTGGAATTAGGGTCCTCTTGAAAAAGCAAACATTAAAAGATATGTGATTATTCATCCACTGTAAACATGTAGTCTTATTATTTACGCAGTGACATGAATTCAGCCCACCTAAATATCTGTTTTCAGCCTTAGATCGCAACCTATTTCTATGTTTCATAGGTTAAGAAATAATGAAACCTAATTCATTAAGTGAAAGTCCTCCTACTACAACATAAGCTATAGCTGTCGAAATACATGATGGCCAGTTAAAATGTAAGTATTTTTGAATTGAATTACACGCCAGATTTCTTTCAAACTGAAATTGCTAGTATTCCTAGTTAGCACGCATCCACATAAAATCATTTATTTCAAAACTGGTTATTATACAAATATTTATGGAAAATTTTCAATGTACTTACATTTTTCCTTCGACATACGATACTTGTAATTAAAGCTGAGATTATCAAATTACAAGACAGTCTAATTATCCATAAATAGGAGTTGTTCCTTTTTTTATTTGTACGGCAACACTACTAATATTCTTTAGTCCTTACTCTGTCAAAACAAGAAAATTCAACATGGCCGAAACAACTTGGCATATTTTTCACGAACAATATTATCCTATAACCTGATCGATTTTAAACTGATCGAATTTCGTCCGAAGCAAAATATTACGTCGATCCACCAATCAGATCATGATCGTGGGATAGACCGAACCATTAATGTCTCTACTATGTGTTAGCCTGTTTGATTGGGGATTAGTAAAATGGCATAGATTCACCCTGGGTGGTGAGATTTATGAAAATTTATCTGTATGTTTGTTTAACCACCTTGTGCATAAAGAAGTTTTTCCCGTGCACGTGATCAAAATTAGCCTGTGTTCGTTAGCACGCTTGGGTAGACAAACAACGATATGATGACAAATAAAAAGTCAAGTACACACCTGAATGACATGATGTGCATATGAATGTGAAAACAACTCAGTTAAAAATAAAAATACAAAAAACAAACAAACAAACAAACAAGTCAGTCATATCAAGCGAGAGAAAAAAAAACTGGAAGACAGTTTAAAGGACATACGCGTATCTCTGATTGAAATCAGATAATATAGATCTTAGTCTGAAAATAATACTAAACTAACTGACAATAATTTCAATAAGTAAAACTGTTTAAACTAGGAGTAGGAAATGTTTTAAAGGAATTGTACTTGAAAATATAGTTATTTGAAGAGTTTTGCTCGTTTGCTTATCAACCATTGATTTTGTCATGTAGTTTGTGAATCGGTTGGCTTTTATTATAACAAGTTTGTTATGAATTTGTATCTTAAACTGCTTCTCTTTTACTGATGATTTGCATACATTGATCATGAGTAGACGATATGTTAAGTAGTTAATAGAATATCATAAAATTTGCAACCAACCCAGTTCCTAAAATGGGTCTTGGAGATTGTCAAATCGGTAAATAACGGATTGAATTCTCATCTTTTACTGGTTATCCAACTGTGAAATAAACATGAGATAAAGCTACCAATATAAGTTTCAACGTTTCTATAACTTGTTCAGTAAATACACGAACTAAAATCATAAAACTATTTTAGTTTAGGGTACATGAGTCTGATATTCATCCCACAGTTTTATATCCTTCAGAATAGTGTCTTTTTGTGGTTGAATCACCCATTGAAGTTATACAAACACAACACACTCTCACGTTTGTTCTCAAAGTGATTTCTTCGATGTTTACAACAACAATATTCGCTCAGATCTTTGCCTTTTCTTGCAGTTATCAAGACTCTCAGAGAAAGAGTTGAAAACAGAAGGTTTCGTCATTACATCAGTTCCATAAAATCTTCAACATTTTATGAATTTCTCCAGAGACCTTTTCAAGTTTCACCAGATTTCCGTGTGCTTCATTTCCTTAATTTACTATACAAACCAAACTTATCTATTACTTTCACTCACAGCTCTCTGCCCTCACATTTATTCACACGTAGTTTGATCTTTTGAAAGCTATTACATAAAGTAACATTGAGAGGTTTATAATTCTACTAACAATAAATTGACTCAAGAAAAAATTATTTTCCACTAGATATTTCTTATTATTAATTTTGGTTAGATTATATGACATTAATTCAGTCATGTGGAGAGTGATGAAAGGAATAAAAATAAGTATAAAAACTTGGACATCACATTTTTACTGCTTTTCTGGAACCTGGTTGTTATAATCTCACAAAAGCAAGATTACAAGAACGCTGCAAATAAAAAATCTTAAAGAACTATTCCAAATAAATGTTGAAAGATAATCTGAAGATTTTCAGGACTGACAGCCGAATGATCTTTATCTTTTTATACAATAGATTCATTTAAAATAAATTCAATTACATTTATCATAAAAATTATTCAATAATTCTTCTTTTTCTATCCATTGGAACCGACTAAACGTCAGTGTTTGCGTATTTGTCTGAATAAATCATCTTACCTAACTCATAACAAGGCACACTGGCTTGAAAACAGTGTGTAGCATAGGTTGATTCCAGATAGTTCAACGGAATATTCAAACATGAGTTTTATGTTTTTCAAAACTAACTAGAATATGTCACACAGTTAGATCGTTTTGACTGATGAACCCAGCATAGATATTGAGTAGAACGTCATTGTAGCCAGAAACATGTTTAATTGGTTTTTTGTTAGACCAATCCAAAACAAAAATCTTTTATCTTTACCAGCGAATGACCTAAGATTTATTATTTTATGTTAAACATTAGTAAAAATATTTTTAATGTAAAGTGCATATTCACTCCGAGAATATAAGTGAATTAAATTCAGACTTTTTGTCCGATAATGGTCGAAAATTGTTAAGTCACACGATCGGATGATAAACACATTTGCTATTTTACCTCCGAATATTTCATATCTTGTTAAGAAGAGGCAATATCAGCAAATAACTAATAGCCAGTGATTGTTAATGATTATTATTATCATTATAACTGATATGAAACTTTCTAAAAATAATTTACAGTCCAAAACCAAAATGAATGGAATGATTTATCCCGATTGGTCGAGTGACAGAATGATCTATCTGATAAGATTATTCAGACTTCTCAGTAGGATGAATTAAAATATGATACAGAAAGATGATTAATTTATCAATCAATAGCCTAACATTTTAATTTCTAGATGAATCCAGTTCTTATAACCTTATCGTTTTGTACTACACTTGCTGCGAAAATGAAAAGATACAATATGGTAGCGCCTATAAAGATCAATTTTTTGAGAGTATGCAGTTGTTTGTAGAGAAATGCCCAGCAATGTATCTGATTATTTTGGTGGCACACCTAAACGTTAAAGCCAGAGTGGATAACACCGAAAATAAAGAAATCAGCGGAAGACATGGACTGGAAGGGCAATAGCAGGAAGGAGACTAGAGGACTGATTCATGGGTTATTATTGTGTATGACTGTATTGTATAATTAGTTCGTAACTAGATGTTTATATATAAGTAAGTATATATCTTTTAAAATTATCCTTCGATTAACTCATTAACCACTATTGATAGTTTTCTATTTACAGCCACATTTTGCTCGCTCATGTGTAGGTGTATTATATTAATATATGGTGCGATGTGGTCCTCTATGTTTGATATATAAACTATGTCCGCTTGAAATATAATAAATTTTGTAGAGACTGGCCGTGGACCTGTAGTGGTATACTTTTACGAAGAGAGCACAACACCACAGCTATACTCGGTATCGATTTCCTACAGCACTATGAATCGCTAGTCGATTCACGTAGGCTGCAGCTAATTAATACTTCGTCGAACAGCAAATTCACGGGCTTTCGAGGTAAAATACACGCGTATCACAAGTGTATTTCATCCGCGTGATGACATTTTCCACTCTGTACTCGACATATTCCCCCAGCTAACTAAACCACTGGAGGAGAATCTGTCGGTGACTCACCATATGGTACACCACATCGTCACCCGCGGACCACCAGTCACGGCAAGACCTTGCCAACTGGTACCGGACAAATTAGCTTTCGCTAAACGTGAGTTCGACAATGTACTAGCTACAGGTATTATTCGTCCTTCTCAGAGTCCTTGGGCCTCACCACTCCAAATGGTTCGCAAAAAGGATGGGATAAGTTGGTGACCATGTGGCGACTACCGAGCTTTAAATGCAGCAACTCGTTTCGACAGCTATCCCATCCCCCACATGCACGACATCACGGCATCACTCAAGGGCACAACTATTTATTCTAAGATTGATCTGGTACCAGCATATCATCAGATCTCAGTCGCTCTTGAAGATATCGAGAAGACTGCTATCATGACTCCTTTCGGTCTTTTTGAGTTCCTACGAATGACATTTGGATTAAGGAATGCTGATCAAACTTTCCAAAGGTTAATCGATAGCATAGTACGAGACTTCGATTTTGTTCACGTCCATGCTGATGATCACTGATTGCATCATCAAACGTAGATGAACATTATCAACATCTTACACTCCTATTCCAATGCCTTTCAGATAATCGAATAGTAATTAACCCAGACAAGTGTGGACTGGGGACAAAGACAATCATGGAGTACACTGTACCGTCCTCACTCAAGGAACTGAAGGCTTTTCTCGGTTCGGTTAACTTCTACCGACGTTTCATTCCTCACGCGGAATAACAGTTACGACCATTAACCGACTTACTTGGCGGTAATCCACGCAAATTAAAATTGAACGATGCTGCCGATAGTGCATTTTTAGAGATAAAAAAACTTTAGCTGAAGCCACGCTTCTCGCCCATCCTAACCCATTCAGCCAAGCTTAGTATGGAGGTTGATGCATCAGATATTGCTATAGGAGCCTTTATGCAACATAATATCTCTGGAAGTTGGCAACCGCTCGAATTTTTCTCACGACGCCTCACGCCCACTGAGACGAGATATAGCGCTTTGGTTCGCGAACTACTAGCAGCCTACTGTACCATCGAACATTTCCGGCACACAGGAGAAAATCGTAACTTTATCCCTTTTACCGACCATAAGCCTCTAACGTATGCTCTTCATGCCAAGTCTGACCGCTACTCACCACGAGAGTCCAGACATTTGGACTACATCTCTTAGTTCACGACAGACCTTCGTCATATTAAAGGTGAGTCGAACTATGTTGCCGATGCTCCGTCACACATTCAAGTGAATGCAGTTACTCTACCGGTATTTGATCTTCCTGCTATGGCCGCTGCCCAAGCATATGATCACTCCTGTACAGAAGCACAACAATCTACATCTCTTCAGTGCCAGGAAGTACCACTAGCTACCACCTCAGGTACTATCCTGTGTGACAATTCTAATGGTTTGCCCCGACCAATTACACCTTCTGCCCATCGTCGTCTGGTCTTCGATGCCCTCCATGGATCGTCTCATCCAAGTATCGCAGCCGCATTAAAACTCATCGCTGCACGATACATCTGGCCTTCCATAAATAAAGATGTCCGTACGTTGGTAAAGCAATGCTTACAGTGTCGACCATCAAAAGTGCACAGGCTCGTAGACATCCCTATCGGCACATTTGCTACGCCTGATGCTCGCTTCTATCCTGTTCATATTGACATTGTAGGACCATTGCCACTATCGCAT